TGCGAATTAACAAGTTTCACGTTGAATGTGGCTAAAGTAAACAATCCCTCAGAGAGCAGCTCGGAAGAGAGGGGCGGGGGCAGCATAGCTCATTAACATTTAAAGGAAAATGCTACAAAACGGCTTGCTCTGAAAAGAGCTGTAAAAAAGGTGTTTTTACACTACCATTGAGAAATTTTAACCAAACTATGTTACAGACTTTTCATTAAGACCCTAAAGAATCATATCAACTAGTGGAAAATGGGCATCCGATGACCCCTTTAAATAAACTCTGTTCTTTTGAACATTCTATTTATCAAAGAATCGAGCAAAAAGTATCACAGATTCCATAAAAAAAATAGAAAACAGTTACTTAAATTGTAATTCTTCACAATAATTCTGTTTTACTACTGTATATTTCTATTCAAATAAATGCCTGGGTGAGCATAAGTGAACTTCTGAATGGCAGCGCACGTTAATCATTGAGAAACACAAGACAAACTAAGTTTCTTGCATCCAATTTCAGAAATGTGCATTATGAATAGCTTCTTAAAAAAGGAACATATAGCCCACACAAAGCTAACACAAAAGACAAACACAATGGACCCTCTTAAAATGCTTCAGATGCTCAAGAAACATCACAGGTTAGTGCAACCAATCCAAAAGCTCTGAAGAATTTAATTTCTCAGTTTCAAGTATCAGCTGTACTTCTTAAACGCTACTAAACCACCTTTCCAGATTAGCACTGAAAAACATTATTACACAGTATTTACACAATACAACACATAATACATATACACAATTATGCATCCGCTCAAGGATTTTACCAAAACACACTAAAAAGTCAATTTGAACGACACTAAACTGTGTAAATGATTGGCTCTGAGATGTTTTATCTTTTGATTGCAGTGCATATGTTAGCAGTGATTTGGGATGTCTTTAATTTAAAGAAGAGTCCTGCTATTAAAGTAGTTCAAGTTTGACTATTGAGCATTGCAAGAGTCTGACATGTGTTTGTTTTCTAATTCCCCACCATTTAAAATGGCACCGGTGATAAGGGGGCATTCATGAGGTGGATTCATATTTCCACAACAGACACCAGTGTTCCCTTTAAACCAGCAAAACATCTCAGGAGTTTCCATTCATCACTTTGAAAAGGAGCTTTGTAATAATATTCCAAGACACAACCAAGATAAGGATCACGCACCTTAATTTGATCACAAATCATGCCTAAATTACTCTCATAAATGCCAGTCTGGATTGAATTGATGCGGATTATAAAAACTACTCATTTTGTTGCATGATCCTGCCAGGGGCTTGCCTCTAGTTAAGTTCATTATCCAACGCTGCTAAAGAACATGGAATTGGAAGATAGTTTCCTTGGCTGAGGCTTGATGTTAGCTCCCTTGTTATCAGTTGGGACTTTCGCCAAGACCTGTAGATTTAATGTGTGAAGATCTCTTTTTCCAGCAAAACAAGTGCAAACTCAGTCCCGACGTCTTGTGTGGCAGGACACACCGTGAAGCCTTTGTTTTGCCACTGAACATGAGCAAGATCCAAAATTAGGCATTTGAGGGGGGAGAAGGCTGGAGCCAGAGACAGGCCCCGTCTGGCTGTCTTTCCTCAGGCTACCATCTTTCCCCACCTCTGTTGCTTCACCTCCGCTTGTCTCCATGGAATTCACAGAGGGAGCCATGTTCAAAAACACAACGGAAACAATAACAAAGGTGAAGTCACAGATGTGCAGATAACCACAAAGAGATGCTGAATCTCTGACGTGACACTTTCAGCAAAGATTCTCATCTTAATATTAAAGACTTTACGAGCAATTCAACTTTAGGTTGACCTTTGAAACGAGGCCTGTCAGTTCATCCTGCACAACAGTAGTCTTCCATTCCCGAAAACTCCAGCCTGTGGTGGATCAGCAGGGGATGAAACTGTAGTGCATGAAGTGTTGAATCCTAAATGTCAGAATGAATCATGTCTGAACATGAATTATTCTGACTGCCAGTGATTTGACTTCTGCCAGCAGATGCACTTAAGGGAGAGCGACAGGTAGCCGAACTCAGGAGCTATCTTCTAGTGTTCATTTCTCATGACATCTTATACAACACTGAACCCCTAGTTAGAGTAAAATTATAATCTGAGGAAAACCAAGTCAAATATGGAACCCTTATAAACATTTGCTTATTCGACCCAGCAAAACATATCTATCTATCTATCTATCTATACATCCATCCTTCTTTCTCCCTACCCTATAAATATTTAAACATTGATTTAACATTTAATAAACTTTAATTTTCTACTTAAAAAATAGCTTGAATCAATTCTTCCTCCTTACATTCAAAACAATTGAAATTCTTCAAGTTTTCTACCTCAATTGAAATTCAACTTAAATCCAGGAATTAAATTCAGGAAAAGACATTCTCAGTTCAATTCTGAATGGTGCTCAGCTTTCACCTCCCCTACCTGGCAAATCTTAAAGGGATAGTTCACCCAAATATGAGCATTCTGTCAACATTTACTCACTCTCACCTGTATGAAGAATGTCTCAGAGTTTTGTCCATACAATAAAAGTCAATGGGCATCAAAACTGTTTGGTTCCCAACATTCTTAAAAAAAATCTTCTTTTATGTTCAGGTTCAGAACAGCATGAAGGTGAGTAAATGATGACAGATTTTAAATTATTGGGTGAACCATGAACCATCCCTTTAAATCAGTGCTTCTCAACTGGTTTGGCCATGGGACCCACATTTTCCCATGGTCATCAAGCCGCAACCCACTTTATAATATATAGGGTACAACGGGGCTAAAGGCGCCCCGGGGCAAAAGGCGCCTTTGATATTATTTTCATCTAAACCAATAGATGGCACAAAAACGTGGTGTAGCACTTTCCAAAACATCTGCTTTTCAAGGTGCACGTGTATATTTGTCTGATTTTTGACGCGATCGCTCTCAGCAGTGCAAAGTTGATTCTGTACTTACTTGATCTAATAGTTTTAATGTTTTTTTAAAATGTTGTAGATAGTGGTCGACCGATATTGGTTTTTTGAAAGCCGATGCCGATGCCAATATCTTGGAAAGCAGGGTGGCCGATGGCCGATATAAAGCCGATATAATTATTTATTTTAATTAATATTTAAGAAATTTGAAATAATTAAAAAATGGATTAAAAAAATAAATGTGTTAAATAAACATACCGTATTGACCCGAATATAAGATGACGTTTTTTTCTTGGAAATACATCTGAAAAACGCGGTCGTCTTATATTCAGGGTCTAGATTTTGACATGTCAATAATACAACCACAACAATAGGTGGCGCCAAATATGCATAAAACGAGTGTGCCAGGAAATACGTAATGCAATGCGTGTTGTAAAGATCGTGAGTAAAAACAAAAGAGAAAGAAAAGCTTACAGCTGCATGACAGTGGGCAAATGCATAAAGCGCAGCATAATTTAAAATCCTGAGTTTAAAGTTTGTCGATCGCATGTCTCCAGTGAAGCTGAACTCTCCTCCTGTCCGCATTCAATTCACACGGACCGACCGTCACGCAGAGAAAACGTGATCATGCAGGATGCAAATGCACACATCACAAGATCTCATAACTGGATTCGACTAAGTTTGCAAGGTTTGTGAAATTAAATGTTCATTAGTCATTCAAAGATTTGTTTAAATGATATAAATGCGTATTTGCTGAATGCTGACGGCAAACAAGAAAGTATTATAATGTTTGCCTTTCTATTACTAATAATATAAAACCATTATAATACTTCTTGTATACATTTTAATTCCTTTGTTTAACCGTTCTATCTGATTATTAGACAGACTTCTATCCGTATTAGACAGAACTGTTAATGACAACAGCGAACAAGAGGGAGAATGTGAGCACTGTGTGTTCAGGCGCTGCTGTTCTCAGCACCGTCAAAATAAACGTCCCGCCTTGAACGCATCGGCCAAACAGGAAAACTTATCGGCCGATACCGATATTAAAAAAAAAAGGCGATATATCGGTCGACCACTAGTTGTAGGTTTAAGTAGCAAATGAGAATCGCTAAAATTAATGCATATATTTTGAGACAAATGTCTTCTTTATGATTTTCAGGTTTTGTTTAAGATAATTAAAGCAACCGTTTTTAAATAACGAAAGAATATGTAAAAGTATGGTATTTGGGGTAAAAAACGCCCCTGCTGTTGGGGCTAAAGGCGCACAGTAATTAACATGATAATTAATATATGGCTGACTTTTCCATTTGTTGACATGGCATGGTTAGATTCAGATGGTAAATATCATATATTATGTTGGGTGTCCATATTAGAGATAATCACCATGTTTAGAATGAAACCATCATACTTAAAAACATGATATTAATCATATCATATAATAAAAAATTGGGCTAATTGACAAGTTCATGACTAGGCTACTTGTGGACAAATGTCACAGTCATGGCAATCATGTGTTCGGCAATGTCTTGGACATTCATAAATGCCCTTGTTGTTGCCCAATGTGAAAGAACACAAAAGATTGTCACAAGGTGCATTAATGAAATTTAACGGTTGACCCTCAAAGGCTGTAAAGAGTAAAGGATGTCAGCATGTTATAATCTTGCTCGGTTTTAAAGGTTTGACATTAATTTACCAGGTTAACACAAATACAAAATGGAATAATGACTGAAAGACCCTTAACTGTTGAAGTAAATTTTTTATGCAGCTAAACAGTATTATTTAAAGATAATTTAAAAAACAGACAAACAAATCAGAAAACAAACGCATTTAAGACTATAAAAACTGCATTAGATTGCAAGCAGGTAATCGTGAAAACATGGTCCAGAAACTCTTGTGAAGATGAAGTTAACTGTGTTATGAAGTGTTATGAAGTTTTACTTCTCAAAGAAAGCATGCTTCCCTCAACAATGTCTTTCATAAATGGGCCAGGATTATTGCTTAAAGCCCCAGATCTCAACACAAGTACATTAATCAGATTAAAAGGAAATTAAAATAAGAAGAGGAATGGATACGTACCGCAAACAGTGAGCCTTGATGGACACATGCACCTGTGGATGAAGAAAATGAGGTGAACAAGAGTGGAAAAGGATCAATACATCAGCTTTCACTTGCAGGCTAATTGACAAGTTCATGACTAGGCTACTTGTGGACAAATGTCACAGTCATGGCAATCATGTGTTCGGCAATGTCTTGGACATTCATAAATGCCCTTGTTGTTGCCCAATGTGAAAGAACACAAAAGATTGTCACAAGGTGCATTAATGAAATTTAACGGTTGACCCTCAAAGGCTGTAAAGAGTAAAGGATGTCAGCATGTTATAATCTTGCTCGGTTTTAGAGGTTTGACATTAATTTACCAGGTTAACACAAATACAAAATGGAATAATGACTGAAAGAACCTTAACTGTTTAAGTACATTTTTTATGCAGCTAAACAGTATTATTTAAAGATAATTTAAAAACCAGACAAACAAATCAGAAAACAAACGCATTTAAGACTATAAAAACTGCATTAGATTGCAAGCAGGTAATCGTGAAAACATGGTCCAGAAACTCTTGTGAAGATGAAGTTAACTGTGTTTTGAAGTGTTATGAAGTTTTACTTCTCAAAGAAAGCATGCTTCCCTCAGGAAATACATATCTTTAGAAACAATGGCAATAATGTTTACTGTCAAACAACTTATAATAATAACCACTAGCTAGTGAGTTATAGCGAATTCATGCACATGCGTCAAGCTGATGTGGGAAGATCAAGATAACAGATAGCTACGGGATGCGGGCGCCGTTTCATAAACATCTGAGACATCATAGTCATACACTTATTTAATATTATAGGACTCTCTATTGCGCATTGCTTTTTTATCTCATATTTCTACGCGTACCTACAAACTGATTTATCCAGATTTGTAAATCTATTTTATTGCAACTAACAGTTGAAGGTGAGGAGGAGCGTTTGAGTGGCTAAAGACTCTCCAAGGACCACAGCTGGAGAATTGCAGAAAATAGTCGAGTCTCAGGGTCAGAAAACCTTTAAAAAAATCTAATCAAATCAAACAGCACCTACACCACATGTTGTTTGGGAGGGTTTCAAGAAGAAGAAAAAAAATCAAGAAAAGAAAATGCTCTCATCCAAAAACAATCCCCAGCATATTCAGTTGTCAGACACGACTGGAACTTCAAATGGGACTGGCTTCTATGGTCAGATGTAACTAAAAAATTAGCTTTTTAGCAACAAACACTCAAGATGGGTTTGGTGCACACAGGGATAAAATGTACCCCATGTGTACAATTAAATATACTACTGTATTTTTAATGTTGTGGGCCTATATTTCTGCTGGAGGTCCTGGACATTTTGTTTAGATACATGGCATCTTTGATTCTATCAAATACCAACAGATAAAAAAATCAAAAAGTGACTCACTCCGTTAGAAATCTTATAATGGGCCATGTTTGGATCTTCCAACCGGACAATAATCCAAAAACAAACCTTAAAAACAACACAAAAATGGGTCACTGTGACCCACACAATGAGTGTGGTGAACTGAAGAGGAGAAGCACCATCATGGAGCTGGGAATCTGAAGGGTCTGGAGAGATTCTGGATGAAGGAATGGTCTCTGATCTCTTGTCAGGTGCTCTCTAACCTCATCAGACATTATAGGAGAAAACTCAGAGCTGTTATTATGCCAAATGCAGGTTTCAAAAAGCATTGAATAAAAGGGTACCGTTAATTGTGTCCAATGTGTATTAGAGAAAAACATTTATGTCATGATATTTCCCCCCATTTTAAAATCTTATTCTCCAATGAAAGGTTAGATTTATGTGAATTTTTTTTATAAAAGATCAAAATGATTAACAACGCAGATTTATTTTCACAGCCTTCTTTGATCATATTTACCAAGGGGGCCAATAATTCTGACCACGACTGTATACATGTAGTCACAACTGTATCATATAATTTTTAAATGATCAAAGGAATTCAGCCTAGGCATTTGCACAAAAGAACGTGAATATAATTAGAATTTGTGAGGTGGTTAGGACAATAAATAAAATCACTTAATACATAAATTACTGACCAAATTCTGCTGGTTTATGGCTTGCCACATCTTTTACAATGGCACGAATGTTTTCCAGAATATACTCCTTTGGCATGTCCAGCTGTTTAAAAAACCAAATGATGTTAACAAAGTGGGGGGAAAAGCCTCATAGATGTGAAAATAAGCAGATACCACCCTGTTCTCTCTTACTTTATTACGAATAGAAGTGTGTGTCACGCAAAGAACTCAATGTGACTTACTGTTGCAACTTGTGTGTTGACATAGATGTCCTCAACCATGTATTCATGACCACTCTTGAACAATGCAAGCATTTTGGGAATATTCATTCCAACTGATCCTGATGCAAGCAACACAAAGAGCCATTTAACCTCCGTTTAGTTGCACATTAATAGAACATGCCTGATACATGTGCAACTCACTGACCTCTCTTGCTCTTGGGAAACTTCTTCCTCAGCTTGTTCTTCAAAGGGAGCAGCTTTTGTACAATGTCTGGCTCAGCCAAGTAAAAATCTGCTGTGATCTCATCAGCTAAAATCTGTCATCAACATTGATTAAACGGCACACAAAGTAATTAGGGAATTGCAACTGTAATTGCAAAATCAATATATTATTATTATGTGATAGCCGAAAAACACAGATTGAATTCAGGGTAAGTGGGAACTTTTTGAACACAATAAAAATAAACAGCCATTTTTTACACAAGCAAACCTTTAAACAGTATATGCAGGAATTACATTTCTACCAGCAATGATAAGTTCTCATGAGCTTTACCTTCTCAACCAGTTCTGCTCCACCTGCAACTGCTGCTCCATTCTCCATTGCTATTCTGGCTTGATCTGGATTCTGTAAAGCCATAACTCTACAATTACTGCATGTAAAATGTACAGCCTCCTTTAATGGAGCTGTAAATTATATCAAATCAGTTCAGTCAATGACACCTGTAATGTTTAACATAATAGACCACAGAGTGATGCTCCCACCTCAGTGAAAACCACTATTGTGTTGATGTCCGACTTGAAGGGATGTGGTAAATGAATTATGCTAACAAACGGATCCACTTTTTTCTGAAACAAAAACAATGGAAAGTCATTCATGTTCAATGTTATGTTCAAATGTGACTGTTTGTTGCAGTTATAATGCTGAGTGCAACATAGCTAGTAAGAACATTTATTCAACTGACAAGAGTATTTTTCATTCAATTAACTCAAATGTTCGTAGTTTGTTTAACAATATATAGATTTCATTTTAAAAGAAACCATCACAAGAACAGACAGACTTCTGCATTAGTCACATATTAAATGCTTTTCAACATCACAGTTCATTATTTCAGCAACTGTTCTGATGTACTGATGAATATTTTAACTTTTTTGAATACAAAATAAAAGAATCTTCAAGAAACTGTGTAGAAATTTTGAACTTGATGCATTTAATTTATTAAAGCATGAACAGCTCCAGAACAACTCTGATTTAACAACTGTAACTAAAGCACAGAAAAGCTTTTCCTGGAACATATTTCCAGCACACTAGTCCACACTAGTGCGGATTTAATTTAATGTTTAAATGAGTGCATTACTGTTCAAAAGTTTGGGGTCAGCAAGTTTTTTTATTTTGTTTTTTATTTGCATTATATTGATCAAAAGGGAGTTTAAGACTTTAATACTACATTTTGTTTAGTTTTTTCCAAATAAATACTTTTGAACTTTCTCTTCATCAAAGAATCCAGAAAAATGTATCAGTTTCCACAAAAAATATTAACTAGCAGTTATTTTTTCCAACATTGATAACATTAAGATTTGTTTCTTGAACATCAAAACAGCATATTCGAATGATTTTTGAAGGATCATGTGACACTGAAGCCTGGAATAATGATGCTGAAAATTCAGCTTTGCCATCACAGGAATAAATCATTTTCGAAAATATTAAAGGGGTCATATGATGCGATTTCAAGTTTTCTTTTCTCTTTGGAGTGTTACAAGCTGATTGTGCATAGATAAGATCCCTGAAGTTGCAAAGACTAAAGTCACAAAACCAAAGAGATATTCTTTATCAAAGTTATGACTCTGCCACGCCCCCCTAAAACGGCTCGTTCTAACATGCCCCCACATATCTACATCACTGTGTGGAAATATTTGCATAATGTGGCCCAAATGTGTATGCAAAGAAAGAAGACGTGGTTTCAGTAACAACAGTTAGTGTTGAAGCAGCCATGTCAGGGAGACGCTGTGTGTTTCTAGGCGAAAGTGTACAAACGTACATTTATTCTTTTAAGCAAAAGTTACTTAAGGCTATTTTAAGAAAATAACCACCCAAAATGTACCTTTTTCTCCAGCTTCATGTCTAGACGTAGGTTAGTGTATACAGGCTGGTTTTCGGGACTGAAGTCCAGCTTCTGAAAGTTCTTCAGCATTTCAATGGACACGGATGTCTCATAGACGGGTTTGGGATAGTACCTCACCATGTACACATCATCTACTGGAGCCCAGGCTGTGAGTCCATAGGGTTTGTGTCTGTTTTTGTCATCAACCTTTTGTTTCTCTTTCACCACCTTTTCTTCAACAGTCTCCTCTTTCTTCTCTTTCTGCCTACAAAAATAGTTTTAATGAGAAACATGATTCTTCTCTGCATATAGATTTTTCTTGCATGGTTTCTAAGTTTGTCAGCAAGTCGAATCCAGGCTAAACAGTGTAAATAGAGAACTCACTTGGCGGCGGCAGCAGCAGCGTAGGATCTGACAGATTGCTGTCTGTGTGCAGTCAGTGAGCTGCAGGAGACAGAAGGAGCTCTGCATGTGAAGAACAGCCTCTGACATCTGGGTAAAACTGTGCGTGAAACAGGACACTTGTGTAAAGCAGAATCAAAATGACTGGGCCAAATGACACGTTAATGATTACATTTTAATTAGCCAATTAGTGGTTCAAATTTATTAAGATTCTATCAGTATACTTTATCCTCCATACAGACGCACTGCATAAATTCACATAAGCTTAACTATAAGAGATCGTGGTCAAAGTCGTTAGCTTGTGTAGATGCACAGCGCTATATTTTACACATCAGCTCAAGTATTCTGCACATGACAGTTTTCATGTTAATAATCTCTGAAAATATAACGGAATATAAAGAACATAAGTAAAATTATATTTAACGTTTCAAAACTGACCTCTTAAAAAATTCCTTGAGGGGGCGGCCATGTTGACAGACTATTGTGTTACACTTAGATTTTCCCGTCTAAATCATCAACACGCTTTAAGCGTTCCCACCCATGTCGTGCGCAACTGCGCGTCTAGCTTTAGTAAAAAATATCATGCATACTTAAAATAAATTGGTATACACACACACTATACTTTATATACTACAAGAAACAATTAATGTGTCCGTTATATAATTTAACTTTTCCACCATCATCTTGGTTTAACCAATTCTTTTAGACGGGAAACAGCAACAACATTCTTGTTATTCTTGTTGTTACCATTCATATCAAATGGTCCAATAATCCTGCCTGAAATATGCAAAAGTTGCGCGATAAAGGTAGTTCTGTAATAAGTTAAACTTTGCAGGTTTTTATATAGAAAAGGCATACTATAATAAAACAGAGATATATCGTATTTTTGCGAGAGCACAATGTTCTCCACTTCGAGTAAGCCGTGTTTCAGAGTCAAATTTCTCGATTCGTTCTTTTGAGTCGGATCTTTTGAATGAATCGATTGAACCGGTTTGCAAAACCTTTCGTTCACGAAACGGACGGACTCGGTATTAGCGGTTCTCGATTCACCAACTTACTGAATCACTGAACCGAGAACAAACTGGCCTGGGGCCTCATTTATAACCTCATATATATTAAACAATACAAACATTAAGGCAGTACAATAAAAAATAAATAAAGACAAGATAAAAAACAAAAACAGAAAAACAACAGAATATACACACAGCTTTGTTGCCAGGGTAACAACCACAAAAAAACAAGGTAACACAATTACATCTTAAGAAGACAAACAGGACGAATATAAAGATACTGTTTTCATAGCTTTCAAATTAACAGAACTTTGGATAGTTTCCACATACTTATCCAAGTCCACTTTAAATAAGGAGAAGAGAGGTTTAGAGCCAGTAAACTTTTGTTTATGTATGTGAAATTTAGCTAACAGGAAACATCAATTAATTATGTAATATTTTCCGGTGTTCTCTTTTGAATCGTCAAACAATCCAAAGAAAGCATCATTAAAACAACCTCATTTATAACCGGCATCTCTACAACATTATGAAAAGTACCGCTGTATCTGAAGGCTACAACTTGAAGAAAACGGCCAGATTTATACGTTTCCTTTTTAAAATACTTTGTTAGTGACGCGCCGAGTCAAGACACTTTTACACTGCAATAAACAGGCCTATCTGTTTCCACTCAAAATAGCTAAAAGATATTCACATTATCAGCAAAACTGCATACATTTAGTTTGATTTGAATTGCTTAAAACAATTGAAATAGGCTACTATTTGGCCAGTGTTAAAGAAAGAGATCAACTCTGTTCTAAAATATTTATCTGATAACTATTTTAAACAGTTTTTGTTTTTATCTTGATATATTTATTCTAAAACATAATAAGGATATTGGATGATTTTTAGAAATAAAAATTAATGCATGGCACAAATGGCATTTATAGTCCGTATCTCATATTTCCTTAATGTCTTTTATCTTTGACGGTGTTAAACATTGGTGTCACGTGGGTGGGAATATGCATGGACATGATATGCAGATGAGGTTATGCATAGTAAAACAAGGCGTTGTAAGCTCCACATATGGTGATTTCGGGGAGGAGACGGGGTGGAGATGCACGTACGCGCAGGTTCTGGCGTATGCATGGTTTTATCAATCTGAAAGCTTTTGTGCGTACGCAAAATCTAGTTTATGAGCGTATGTACACTTTTAGGATGAAATCTACGGAGAGTTTTATAAATGAGGCCCCTGGGCTGCGTTTCCCAAAAGCATCGTAAGCCTAGTTGATCGTAGCTTCATTGGTGACAATGGACAATTGTACCATGCTTTTGGGAAACGCGGAGCCCTGTCTGATTTGCATTCGAAGCGATCCCAGAACGATAAGTGCTCTGACAGCAGAGGCGGACACAGTACTCAACTCCATTACTCGAGTGAAAGTACAGAGACTGCTGGTCAAATATTACTCCATTACAAGTCAAAGTTGTAAAGACAGATTTTTACTTCAGTAAAAGTACAGAAGTACTTGCTTTTAAAAGTACTTAAGTACCAAAAGTACATTTCCTTTTTTAAGTCGATGCACTGTTTTATTGTTGTACGTAGTAATACTTGCAATACTTCTGAAGCAACTTAGAATACATTACACCTACTGAATACACTGACTAGCTTGTAGTATCTTTGGAATAAAGAGCTTTTAGAATGTTAAAAAATTAACACCCTATACCCACCCCCACAAAAGCAGGATGGTAGTGATCTCGCACAGCTCTGACAGTGTGTGCACACATCTATGTGTAACCATTCATCCACATTTGAACAGAGTGGACAGTGAAATCCTGTAAATACAGAGTGATAAGGAAGAAACAAAATCAAACATGCTTTAAAACCCAGCAATACAACTGTAGCTGTGTAACTTTACAACAGCAACACTGCTTTACCAAAAAAGCAAAACAGCAAGACTTAATTGACATCAAAACAAAAATGATAAAATGCTGTCTAATCGCTCTCATGGTACTTGGATGTCACACACAGAACGGTCTGCAGTGCTGCTTCAGTCAAACTCCTTTTGTGTTTTATTAGGAGATGCACAACAGTTCTTCTGTGGCTTTATAGGTAATATTTTCACCTACACAATTAAGCAAAATCAGACAATATTGTGTCTAATATATACCACAATATTAACTTCTTATTATTGAATTGTCGTATACAAATTACTTAATGTAGCTCTACAAGAGTGATTACTGATAAACTGAAAAAAAAAGAAAGTCAAGTTTTAGACAAGAAAAAAATCACCCACTGACTTTCAAAGCTGCTACATAGTAACGACTTTCTACTTTCTGCTTTCGACTTTCACTACTGAAATGTAGTGGAGTGAAAAGTACTATATTTGTCTTTCAAATGTAGTGAATTTAAAGTTATAAGTTCCCAGAAAAAATAATACTCAAGTAAAGTACAGATACTCAAAAAGTGTACTTAAGTACAACACTCAAGTAAATGTACTTAGTTCCTGTCCGCCTCTGTCTGACAGTAAGAGCATTTGGGGTAAACCAAGGATATACTTTAATTAACAGAAATGTCGAAAATTAGTAGCCTTGGCTTTAGTAGCCTAAATTAATAATTATGACATCAACACATACGAAACAAATTACAAGATGTAATCGAATTTAGCATTGTTTAATGTAAATATAAATTTAAGTTCCAATGCCTTTGTTTTTATAAAGTGAATCATGCAACTAACCAAACTAGAAAACATCAGGGGCCATGTGACTCGGTTCTTAAAAACTAAAGGTTCAAAAGAACCGATTCGCGGAAAAGAGTCGGGCTTCCTATCGTTGGTTGTAAGGGGGCCGTGGACTGAAGCGGAAGCTCAGACAGAGTGTTGTCCTTCCTTCTGCCAGACTCTCAGGATGAGGATCGGTCGCAGTTTGTCTGTATGTCTCTGATCATATCACACCAGCAGCTCCTCTCCCACCGCCCGAATGCAGGTAAGAATCTACGTAACGTACTGCATTCCAGCGTGGTGGTTTTTGGATGTCAAATACGCCTGATGTCCCCAGCACTACCTCCAGGAGATCGGCTAAGGAGACGGCGTGTGCTGTAACTTAATAAACACGAGAGAAGTGTTTCAACCCATTACACGCCACATAGTTTCTCCTCCTGATTAATAGATGACCGTATTGATGACAACGGGTGGCACGGCCAGATCTGCTCCTGGCTTTCATGTTGTTGCTTTCAGCTCACCAAACGAACTTATTTAATGTAAATCACAACTTTGAGCATTCACTGGCATAGCAAGAATAGCTAATAATGATAGCCTTACATAACACAAACCTCGTTATTGGAGTAGTTGACATCTGTGCTAGGTCGTTGACACGCTTTTACCTGTAACGCGAAACACCGCGATGTTTTTGAACATCGAGTCCAAGTTAGGTTCAGCTCGGAACTTGTGTGTTTGTGTTATTCACAGAAGTTACTTGGTAACTTCAAAGAGCGGGTTACGTAACGCCTTGGCTGTCATCATCGTGACCAAGCGTTCATTTGCATATTATATGCCGTAGCGTTCAATCAAATAACTTTTATTGTCACATGGCCATATACACCGCGGTTTAGTGAGAGATAAAGACTACAGAATTCACAATACACACAGTGAACAGCTCTTAAGAGTTTGGCATGTGCTCTTGTGTATGTAACAGCTGCGACTGCATGATTACAGCGCACCACATGTTCTTTCTATACAAGGCCATTAATAAGGGCATTAATAAAAGTCTGTTTAAAAGCTGTCGCTGGTGGCATGTAATAGGGAATTATGTAAAAGTGCTGTTTTGCTTTCAACTTTTACAGCTGAAAGGGATTGATTAAAAAAAAAAAAATCCTACTGCAACATCTCCAAAGTTCAACTAAGTTAAACTGTCAGTGCCCTAGCCTGCCATAATGTTTTGGCTGGGCATGAGAGATATCAACTACTCAAACAGTTCAGTGTATCAGTGTAAACATCAGCCGTCTGTCTGTCTCTCGGTAAGCACTCAGGATCTCTCACTTTGGCCTGGTTTCTAGAACATACATGGTTCAAAAGTTTGGGGTCAGTAAGTAATTTTTTTTTTTTTGAAGAAGAAATTAATACTTTTATTCAACAAGGATGCAATAAATGATCAAAAATGCCAGTAAAGGCATTTATAATTATTATAAAACTTTTTATTTCAAATAAATGCTGTTCTTTTAAACTTGCTATTTATCAAAGTATCCTAAAAGAATGCATCACAGTTTCCACAAAAAATATTAAGCAGCACAACTGTTTTTAACACTGATAATATTAAGAAATGTTTCTTGAGCACCAAATCAGCATATTAGAATGATTTATTAAGGGTAATATGACATTGAAGAAGATAAGTAATGGCTGCTGTAAATTCAGCTTTCCTTTCACGGGGGTTAAAGTACATTTTAAAATAGGCCTATATTAAAATCGAAAACATACAATTATTGCGAGAGAGTAAAATCTTTGCAGTTATTTCAAATTGTTGTTGTTTTTACTGTTTTTTATTAAATAAATGCAGCCTTGGGGAGCATAAGAGACTTCTTTCCAATCCCAAACTTTTGAACTGCAGTGCTGGTGAGATGTTGATATTTTACAGCTTCGCTTAGTACCTACATATTGTGTTTTTTTCTTTAGCTTTGTTTTAAGTTGAGCTTAAGCAATTCTTAACTGATGTCAGAAAAAAAAGTTTTTCCTTGTCACAAGTTCAAGTGCAGTTGTTGGTTTGTTGACTGATTTACATCATGTTTACATAATGCCAGTTTGTCTAAGGGTGATCTGGCTTGATCTGAGGCCTTAGAGGGAGTCACTCTCACAGCATTCACAGAATGAACATTGCAAATACAATTACACTGCCAGCAGGTACATAGATCAGGCTTTCAGCTTTCTCTCGGTTTATGATGATTTCTTACAGACATTTTGAGAAAATGAGTGATACTGTAGCTGAGAGAAAAATGACCTGAGTAACATACTGTAACTAAAAGAAATGATGTTTAATTGTTCATTTTCTACATGTATTTTCAGATTAATAGGCATGCCAAAGGAAAAATATGATCCTCCAGACCCACGCAGATTATATACCATCATGTCAGCAGAGGAAGCAGCCAGTGGGAAGAAGTCACACTGGACCGAGTTGGAGATTTCTGGTTAGTTATTATTCCTCATGCCTCAACTCATACAATGAGTGTATTTTTATGAATGTGCTACTGACGGTACAGTAAATTGACATGAGAGAAATTAATGAATAAATCAGTGAACGTGAAGGCCTACTTATACTGATCTGCTTAAAGGGGTCATATGATGCGATTTCAAGTTTTCATTTCTCTTTGGTGTGTTACAAGCTGTTCGTGAATAGATAAGATCCCTGAAGTTGCAAAGACTAAAGTCTCAAACCCAAAGAGATATTCTTTATAAAAGTTAAGACTGGTCCACGCCCTCCTAAAACGCCTCGTTTAAACACGCCCCCACATGTCTATGTCACTGTGTGGGAAGATTTGCATAACGCCGCCCAAATGTGCACGCAAAGAAAGGAGGAGTAACTTTATTGTTGCCGCCGCCGCCATGTTGTGAAGACGCTGTGTGTTTCGTTGTGAAAGCGAAAATACTTTGTTTGGTCTTCCAAAAGAGGACACGATTAGAAGGCCTCGTTTATAATGGGTTTTAATGTTTTTGTCTCGTCGCTCTGGCCGGACACAACATCACAGTATGGTGAGGGAGGGGTGTAACATTTCCGCCACACACTTAAGGTATTCGGCCAATCACAACGCACTGGATAGCTGGCCAATCAGAGCACACCTCGCTTTTCAGACAGATGAGCTTTGTAAAAATCGACGCTTTTCAGAAAGGCGCGGCATAGAAGAGAAACAATAATGTACAGTATGTGGAAAATAATGTGTTTTTTAACTTTAAACCGCATAAACGCATTTCATTACACCAAATGCACAAAATAATGTTATTTTTAGCAACATCATATGACCCCTTTAAAAAGTGGCAGATGCTTTGATCCAAAGTGACGTGCATTGCTGAGTATATACATATATCAGTATGTGTGTTCTCTGGGAAATTTGGAAAATATTTGTGCACTCTGCCTGTGCTTCCATTGTACAGGGCGGGTCAGAAGTCTAAGCAGCTCAATATGGACGCTGACCCATCTGACTGCTCTCCACATCAACAACAACAACCTGAGCCGGATTCCTCCTGAAATCGCAAAGCTACCCCATCTCGTCTACCTAAACCTGTCCTCCAACAAACTGCGCAGCCTGCCAGCAGAACTCGGCAACATGGTGACTCTCAGGTACGTGACAAATTGGTCAATCTCTACGGATTCCCTTCAGACTGAAATTAGGTCAAATAGTTTTGTTGACCTTTCAGCATTATTACAGGTTCTTAAAGACAAGTGCCATTAAAAATATTTTTATAAAATAGAGAAAATATATATAATAAAACTAATTAGGATGTGACTCAACTGGACTTATTACTCTATTAAAGCTAGTGTCTAAGAAATAGTTTAGGCCATTTATTTTTTTTTTGCTTTGAGCGATTTTATCCAGTTACACTAAACAGACGCCTTGTTATATGGTCACATTTGTTTCTTACTTAGTGTATTTTTTTTAGGGAATTGCTTTTGAACAACAACTGTTTACGAGTTTTGCCTTATGAACTTGGCCGGCTTTTCCAGTTGCAAACACTTGGCCTCAAAGGTAAAGATTTATTTTATTTTATTTTATTTTAACAAATGTTGTTTTATGTTATACAGTACATGCAGAACAAGCATGCAATATTTTTCCTTAGGCTTGAGAACAAAATTTCTTTCCCAGGTAATCCATTGTCCCAGGATATACTCAACCTGTATCAGGAGCCTGATGGAACAAGGAAATTATTGAATTACATGCTTGACAATCTTGCAGGTAATAACGGACACAGTTGCATAGCTGTTTATTAATACAATACAGATAAGGTATTCATTTAATTTTCTTCTACTTTTTCCCCTCCCAATATTAGTCCACCCAGAACAACTCCCCCAAAGGCCTTGGATCACTTTGAGGGAGCGAGACCAAATGATGCCCACAGGTACCTACTAGCGCCCCGTCACTGGTTTTTAAAAATCATGATATAGCAAGGAGCAAAGCTAATATTAAATGCTTGTGTTCTCAAGCTGTGTTCACAGTAATGTGTTACAACGTACTGTGCGACAAGTATGCAACAAGACAGTTGTACGGCTACTGTCCCTCATGGGCCCTTAACTGGGAGTACAGGAAGAAAGGCATCATGGAGGAGATCACGAACTGTGATGCTGACATCATCAGCCTGCAGGTATGAAACTCCTGTTTCAAAATTAAAAAGGAACTCGGCTGTTTTTTTGGAGAGAAGCCTAAAGCTGTATATTTCTTTTATAAATCTGACAAATCTAAAGACACTTCGAATGTATAAAGGATGCAACACTACTATATCCATACTCAAGATTAACATGAGATTGGCTGAAACTGTATGTGTTATGTCCCCTTTAAAATGTAATTTATTCCTGTGATGGCAAAGCTGCATTTTCAGCAGCCATTACATTAGTCTTCAGTGTCGCATGATCCTTCAGAAATCATTCTAATGTGCTGATTTGGTTTTCAAGAAATTTTTCTTATTATTATTACTGAAAACAGTTGTGTTGATTAATGTTTTTGTGGAAGCTGTAATACATTTTTGGGGGATTATGATGAATAGAAAGTTCAAAGAGAAGCATTTATTTGAAATAGAACATTTTTGTAACATTATAAATGTCTTTAGTGTCACTTTTGATCAATTTAGTGCAAATTAATAAAATAATGAATCTCTTAACAAAAGAAAATCTAACTGACCCCAAACATAAAAAGCTAGTGTACCGCTCATCCATGTAACTTCTAATATGATGAATCAATATATAGTGCTTTACGTAAACAATTAAGCTAAATTATTAAATGTGTAAACAATATATTCCACGTGACTTGTATGGAAGGATATTCCGGATAATTTTCAAAACAAAAATGGAAATCGTGCATTTGTGTTTCCATTTTCTTTTCCGTGTATGTAACATCTCTGCCCAATTTTAAATGGAAACGCAAAGTCCATTTTCAGTTGCATTTCCAATGTCTTACAAGTTATGATTCTGTCATTTTGGAATATCAATAGATAATAACTAATTTGCTATTTCACTTTCTCCGCGTCCTGCTCCAACCCTCACAAAATTCAAATGGAATCACAATCTTGCATCTTGCTCTTGCATTTCCAATGCCTAACACAGTCAGCTGGCAATCAGTCTTGAGTGTGGGGTTTATCGATATAGTCGGAAAGTATGCCACGTCCACTACTGGTGGAAAACCAAGAACCGTTTTCATTTTTATTCTTTCTTAGGCTAAGTTCACACTACATGACTTTAAACGTCGGCAGATCGCTGTGCTGTTCAGACTACATGACTTGATTGTCTGCCTTTAAGTCATTGTGGTGTTCACACTACATGACTCTATGTAAATGATCCGCAACCGGGGGTTACACACTACACAAGCTGACAACAACTCTGTCACCCAACGACTCTACAAACCACGTTTTGTCACAAAAACACACGCGAGAATTGGAGCGGGAATGACGCGAAACAACACGTGAAACAGAAGTTGTTTATTTGAAAATGGATGTCGGGAAGAAATTAGCACTGCAAGCTGTTTGCTCGATGAAAAATTTTGCTCCATTTATTGTGTCTAAACTTTTCTTTAAGCCATGTTGCTGCTGTTGTTTTTCTTCCGGTGACCTCAACCCATGCCTTGCTCTCTCATTGGCTGTAGCTCGTCACGACACCTGACACCACGTGATGTTGAGTCGGCGGACCCAAGCATAGGTCTCTGCAGGAAAGTAATGGGAGTTACCAGATCGGGGCGTTTTAGACCATGTTTCCTGATTGGCTGACGTCATAGTGACGGTAGGTTTAGGGGTGGGGTTAGGTAAGTGGGATCATTTTGATTGCATGATTGAGAAACACCCTGCAGTTTGAAAACACCCACAAATTCAGAAACGCCCACTTTTGCTCTGCAGAGACCTCAATCTTGGCCGACCGGTCCAGATATTTAGCATGCTAGATATTTGTTTGCCGTCGGAGAGGTGTCGGCGACGCGTCAGCGAGCCTCTTTGATGCGTCGTTGAGTAGTTCGCACATAAAGATTGCAGAGCGCCAATCACCCGCTGATTTTCCCCCGATCACAGCCCGACCTGCCGGTGAGCTCGTTAACTTGCAAATCGGGCTAATCCTGTAGTGTGAACTTAGCATTATGAGGAAAATGGGGACAAATAGCCAATAAATTTCTCTTTTTGCAACAAATTACCTGCAACATCAAGAAGATATCTTACATACATCTGTGGAACCTCACAACTGAACGGGGTCTCACAACGGACGAGAAGCGCAGCGCCTCACCACGTCTTTAAAATTCGGACAAACTGTTTTCTATGAGTGTACGCACACCAGCGGCACCACTCAGCGTCTGTCCGCGCCACAGAGCACCACTCACTAGTTTTCCATTAAATCACTTTAGATTTGTCCCAAATTATTGTTGATGTATACCAAGAAGATATCTTACATACATCTGTGGAACCTCACAACTGAACGGAGTCTCACAACGGACGAGAAGCGCAGCGCCTCACCACGTCTTTAAAATTCGGACAAACTGTTTTCTATGAGTGTACGCACACCAGCGGCCCCACTCAGCGTCTGTCCGCGCCACAGAGCACCACTCACTAGTTTTCCATTAAATCACTTTAGATTTGTCCCAAATTATTGTTGATGTATACAATGACTTCACCCTAGGCTGGAAGATTGTGTATTGTGCATTTTTCAGCAAAAAGCTTATCTGTGGCTTGACTAAAGTGTGTATGCTTCATATAAAGAGCTATAACATGGATCACGCTTTCTCTTTCTGTTTGCTCTTTGTCAAACGCCAAACTTAAAACTCATCAACACCCACTTTGTTCAATTGCGTTTGGATTAGGTCTCAACATATGCGTCCACAAATTGAAAATGCAAATACAATTTGCAATTCCTTTTGAATATCATTCTTTAGACTTGAGTGTGGTGCTTTAATATCAGCAGTGTTTTATACTTTGCTCTAATGCTCATTCTCCAGCTGCATGTGCAGAGTTCAGTACAGTTGGCTTGGCAACATATTCACAGATTCGTTTTGAGGCAATTTAGGCTGTAGCTGGTTGTCTACGATTGAAAAGAGGTGTTATTTGTGTAGTAACAACTTTTAGCAAAGTTATTGATCTGAGAAATTCGAATCGGTCAATACGTTGCCAACTTTACTGAACTCATGTGCAGGAGGTGGAAACAGAGCAGTACTACACTTTCTTTCTGGAAACACTGAAAGAGCGTGGATATGATGGCTTTTTCTGTCCAAAGTCTCGTGCCAAACTCATGTCAGAACAGGAGCGGAAACATGTAGATGGCTGTGCTGTGTTCTTCAAGACTGAGAAGTGAGAATCTCCTTCTGTCTTCTTACAAAGTTTAAAAGGAAATTATATTAAAGCTCATCTTGTGCACTTTTTTTATTTTCTAGATTTACTCTGATGCAGAAACACACAGTGGAGTTCAATCAGGTTGCCATGGCAAACTCGGAGGGCTCGGAGGTTATGCTAAACAGAGTCATGACCAAAGATAACATCGGAGTAGCTGTCCTGTTGGAGGTGAAGAAAGACTTGTTTGCTAGTGGTAAGGACCTTGAATGATAACTCTGTAGTTCACATTAAATAGCTCAATTTAGGTTTCCTGTTCTTCACTGACACACCTTCTGTTTAGCTTTGTCCTGTAGATGGCAGCAAATCACAAAGTTAAAAATTTTTACATGCGAGGACAATAATAACTAGTGTCTCTGAAAATAAATTAATGTTCACAAACAACACCGTGTCAGTAGAATTCATTTTGAGCCCAAAAATTATTCAACATCAAACAAATTATTCTGAGTATATTACTATGTATTTATTACATTAGTTTTGTTTTTTTAATTTTTGCTATGTGTGGCAAGTTAGGAAATTGGATATCTAGATATTGGCCACTTTGAAAATAACATCGGTAGCATTCTCTGAATGTTTTAGAAGATGCAGCTGGAATTAAATTAAATTATGAAACATTTATGTCTGTCACAATTTGGTAATCCAAGTTAGTCATAAGTGATATGCTGCTCTGATATATAAAATTAAATCCTGTGGTTGAATTCAGTGTTAGGTTGGATTTCAGTGATAATATACTTTTTAACTCCTTCATGATGCCTCGATACAGCTGAATACGATTTCTTAAGCATACACACCTTTTGATGAGTTCTGCTTTATTTCTTCTTTCTCAGCGTATTCTTCATTTTTTCCCCCCTGCAATCTACAATATTTTTGTGTTTTCAAAATATTGCAATACTGATTACACTTTGAAAACAGAGTTTCATGTTCACATTCAGCTTTTGAATTTCTCTGAACTAGGAGCAATGACCTTGATTATAAAATATCTTATTTAGATGTTACAGCTCCATTTGCTTCCTCTTTAGTAAAATACTTCCATCCCATTCGTTTTACTGGTGTTATAATGCAGGTTTAAAGCAGCCTGCAGAGGAACAGTTCCTGCTGGTAGCTAATGCCCACATGCACTGGGATCCAGAGTTCTCAGATGTGAAGCTCATCCAGACCATGATGTTCCTGTCTGAGCTAAAGAGCATCGCTGAGAGGGCATCGGGCTCCATCAATTCTGCATCTCCCACGTCAGACACCAGCACCATCCCTATAGTCCTGTGCGCTGACCTCAACTCCCTCCCAGACTCTGGTAAGTGATATCTGGAACTGCTTATTGAAGATAAATAGTTAGAGGGAATGGGGGACTCACTTGGGCAATCTATATTGTGTAAATTCCAACTAAGATGAGTTCAAGAAGTCCACGTAAGCAAGCCGTAATATAGCGCCCATGAAGTGGATGGCAGGCAGTTGGCTTTGCGTTCCTTGTAATAGGATAAGTGTCTGTCAATATTTCAAATTATGAAAGACCTGAGTATCGATAAGCTCGGAGTTAACGGTTCTGCTATCGGTACTGGAGAAATGAATAAAACACACATACATTTATTATTGCTATATATAGATTATCTTGCAAATTCTATCTCACCAGAGTCGCCAGCTGTTTTTTTCAAACATTTGTCTATGATGCATTTTTGCTATTCTCAATTCCTCGCGCCCACGCGGAGGAGCTTCAGCACGCGCAACATGAAAGCCCTGTTTAACTATGATAGAAGAGAGAACTACACATTCAAACATCTGCTTACACTTTAGGCCTGTGGCTGTTTTAGTAAGCTAATTTTATTTTTTTTATTTCGATTTTGGCTTCTAAGGATTATACAAAAGAAGACATGAGGTAAAGCTATTAAAAACTAGCTGCATTTCATATTGCGCAACTTCTTTCCCTTCACAGCGGTGCGCATTCGTTCCTCCCTAAAACCCTAACTTAACGTCAGAATCCGTTCAATCGGTGATTGTTGTAAGATGCCGTCTTTACTGGTGCTAAATTGCGGGACATGTTTGATAGTAAAACGTTGAAAGCACAATCCGCACAAGAGACGCTGTTCCTCAGGCTGAAATGTGTGCACACGGCGCGCTCCAAAACGGACAAACAAATGACACTTTGAGCTAAGGGGCGGATGTCCAAACGATCAAATACACACAAAATATGTCAAAATGGC